TCATCATCTGAGACCTCCTTTGGCTCTAAATTGCGATTCACCTCATTCCGCCCCCTATGCATTGCTTGGTGTTGCAGTTGGGTTGTCCATTGGTTGGAATCTGGAGTCATTACTTCCTCTTCTAACAGCATTTCTTGAAAAAACTCAATAGACGGTAGCGGCAATATAGATACCAGACCCCCACGAGCTCTTTTCATTTTCCTAGTGCTTCTTTCCAACAAGTCTTGATCCTCCAGCGAGGAAATTTCAGAGAGAGAACCCGATACCGTCTCCATTAAAATGCTTCTTTAGTTGATGTTGTTATTATTTAATTGGTAAAAAAAAGTAATAAAGCTTAATACTTAACAAAATTTTATATAAAAATTAACTAATATCTAATGAATTGGAAAAAGAATTAGTTAATGAATGATATGGAAAAAGAATTTTGTTGGGATTTTAATGAATTGGAAAAAGAATTAGTTAACTAATGATATGGAAAATTCCAACGAAATTCTAATATATTAGTCAATTTCCATATAAAATTGTAGGCAATACATACTATTAATTTTGTAATACAAATGAGATTCTAATATATTACTTACCATACACGAATCTATACTTGTAACACCCCACTTTTCTTAAACTTAATTACAGTTCCAAAACCAAAATCAAGATAAACTAAGCAGCGGATAAACAACTTAAATAATAAACTAGTGGGAATGTCACCGCCCCAACCACCTCTCCACGGTGATTGCACAGGCTAAGGATGGAACTAAATCATTAAACCGAACTAACATTCAAATTTCTTAACTTAAAGTCATTTGGGGGAAAAACACCCCGATGTCTGTCATCAAACATGAATATCATAAGTCTACAATCCATCATCAAAACATCATAATAATAAAGAGAGTTTAGACTACTAGATCTACTACACTAGTCTAACTCGATCATCTCTCAAACGCTGGGCCCACCTGAAAGGGATTTTGCAAAACAACAAGTAGACAAGTAGGAAAACACCCGTTAGCACGAAGCTAAGTATAACCACACTCAACCATGTAAAGTACTACAATATATACTTTGGAAAAACATTTGTTCACAAGCTCTACTCAATTAATCGCAACACTTAGGCAACTTTAAGATACATCACAGACTTTCTATATGCTCGCAACCTATAATATTAACAGGCATGCTTCAACGATAAAGAACTCATCAACATAAATACTCTAACACATATTTCTCAAAACAAAACTCGTCATAACGAACTCATGCTATCAAGCAATTTCATGCTATCAATCAATACGAAATTATCTTTATGCTTTCAAGATCACATCTTGCAAACTAGATATATAAGACATCAAAATGCAACTAAAGCAATCATGCTCAATATACAATCCCGATTAATCAAACTCATTATGCCATCTAGTGCAAACATTCTCATTATGCAATCTCGTGAAATACTATACTCAAATGCAATATCGTGCAATACTAAACTCAAATGCAATCTCGTGCAATACTATAAATATACTCAACACTCGCTTGTAAAATAGAATACTTTTCTGTGGAGGTTTCTTAGAGCCACAAGGACTTGCTTGCTTTCTTTTTTTTTTCTTAGAGTCGTAATGACTCGCTTTCTTTCTTTCTTTTCTTAGAGTCGCAATGACTCGCTTTCTTTACAAATGAACGAGGTAGGAACTTCACCGTATCGTGAACGAACCTATCCGGGCACGGCGTCTAGCCGGCCTAATACTCATCTCGTCCACCAAACCACTCTCTTGGTTCTACGCTCAAACTCTGTGGAATCAGCTATCGAACTTTTAGTGTGCACACCCCCTTACCAGGATTCCAAGCATGGCGGGCAGTTTCCAACCTCGTAACATGGGAATACACCGCGTTACATATACTGGGACCACAATGTCCATAACTTTCTTCCGAGAAGACGTAGTCCAAACGGGTCCTCCAAAACAAGGTTTTCCTCACCATAGATATATATAGATATATCGCTCATGCATCTCATATATGCAACACTTAACTTATGCAAAAGACATGCACATACTTCTCAACTCATTCTCAAAGACAAGATAAAGATGCTCTATGTGGAATGAGATTTTTGGAAAAATATACTTAGGCTCACGTTGGCCACTTATGCACTTTTAAAACATGATTTATTTGGAATGCAATTTACTGTACAACATGCTTCAAATTTATCTATCAGAATGATCTCTCAAGAACACAATATCATGCTTGGTTTGTAATATATCAAACTCTGTATATTTCTACCATCAAAATAGACTTCGAATTCCATTGAACATACAACACATTCTACTCATGCTTTTCTAACAATTCTTATTCATAAAGTGTTCATGCTTCTCTATTCAATACACAATTAGCATCAGGAGGATAAAAACAAAGCAATTCCCAAAACAGTGAACTCAAATATCATTACTGTGAAGCATTTCATCACAAATTCTACCATAACATGCTCATTTCTAATCCAAATTCAACGAAATCAAAACCAAAACGTGCGTCAAGACGGCCCCGAGGTACCGAGCCACAAGGGCCCGTGACACTTGGTCCGATACGACACGTAGCTGAGCCACAAGGGCCCGGCCACTACACAGGAGCATCTCACGGTCCATGGGGCGGGGCTCATCAAGGCCCGCCCCCTCAAGCCGTTAGCTTGCCGGCCCTAGGCAACGGCCCTCTCCTAGGGCCGTCCCCTAGGCCCGGCTGGCCACGGCTCTAGCCAACGGTCCGCTTGTTGGGTCGTTGGCTGGGGCCGTTGCCCCCTGTGCACCAGATGATCCCTTTTCATCTGCAAATCAATCTCAGACAACTCAAACACATCCAAAACATTAACAACGCATCATAGACAAGTAATAGATCACTTCATAGCTCAAACACATAAAAAATCTAGCATTTCTACTCATTTCTACCTAAGAAACAAGGCTTCACAGAGCCAAAACTTAAAGTGGGAGTCCATGGGGTTATAGACTTTATAGATCAAAAGTTCTTAGTAAAATCTTTCTAGGGATACATAGTATTTCCCAAAATATACGATGTTAATAGCTAATACATTTTAGGAGAATAATAGAATAAGCTTCAAATGTGTTTATAATCAAATGTACACCTCATACATAATTATATAAGTATATATTCTCAAAATCAAGTATAATATTTCCCCAAAACATATATGCTCATATATATAATTCTTGAAATATAGCTTTCTTGGCAAATCATAGTTTTTGGTAGTTTAAACCCTTCTCAAACATATTTATGATTTTCTATAAAAAATACTTTTAAATATAAATAATCCTTCAAGCCTAAGTAATATATTAAATAAACCAAGATAGTTTCTCAAGGAGTGAAGTTATTCAAGTGGAATAAGCTTTGATTATTAAACAAGGTTTAAGGGTTCAAATCCCACCTTGATTATTAAACAAGGGTTAAGGGTTTAAATCCCACCTTAAACAATTTTCCAAAGCATTAGTTAAAATTAAACAAGGAAACTAGGCTTAAGATTCAATCCCAAGCCTTACATAATACTCACTGGTTGTCTAACCAAACAACCAGTGAGCTACAACAGCTCTTGGTAATAGATCTCCGTATAGATCCGTTACAAGGGTCCGTTGGCGCGAGGAAAAGATTTTTGTGTTCTCTACTTCCCTTCTCCTCACTGGTTGTCTAACCAGTGAGCCTCTTGGTAATAGATCTCGTATAGATCCGTTACAAGGGTCCGTTGGCGCGAAGAAAAGATTTTTGTGCTCTCTGCTTCCCTTCTCTAAACAACACCGATCAGATACATCAATCCCACAAAAATCACACAGTATATCAACTAAAAACCCAAAATACATATATACACACACTTGAACAACTAAATCACATACTTAGGGCAAAATAATATGGTTGAGAATCCATGGGTTATACCTTGAGAATCCTTGTTCTAGCCAACACCATTTCTAAGCTCATCTCCTTTGCTTCATCTTCTTCCACCATCTCCAACTCTCAAGCAACCACAACAACCCAAAAACACATCTAAGCTTAGAAAACCTCATCTTAGAAAACAAGCCAACAAGGGAATATGGAGAAGAAGTGATGAAATCTTACCAAGTCTTGGACCTAAGCTTTTGGAAGATGAAGCTTCAAAGATGAAGGAGGATATATGAGAGAGAGATTCACGAGAGAGGGAGAAAGGGCTGCCAAGGGAGATGAAGAAAATGAGCAAGAGTAAGGGTAGAATAGTGTTCTTTTGTTGCTAGGGTTGAGGGGTAAAAATGTAATTGCTTGCTTTAAAATATCTCATCAAATGCTTTGTCTTGTAGGAATAGTCAAAGTTCACCTTATATCATGAACCAAGGCTGGAAAGAAGATTTTTGAATAACTTGGGGTCAAAATAGATTTTCTAAAAGATAGTTCTAATTAAACATGTCGAGGAAATCTTTCCTTATTTACTGTACATTTAATTCATGAAATATATCGAGGAAATGTATGTCAGTAACCTTTCCTTCTTTACAACACATTGAGTTAATGAAATATGTCGAGGAAATGTATGTCAATAATCTTTTCCTCTTTATTAAAACATGTTTAGTTCATGAAATATGTCGGGAAAATGAATGTCAATAATCTTTCCCTGTTTATTAAAACCGGTTTAGTTCATGAAATATGTGGAGAAAATATATATGTTAGTAATATTTCCCTCTTTACAAAATGAAATATGCTAGTGAAAATGTATGTCAGTAATCTTTCCTTCTTTACTGTACATTTAGTTCAAGAAACATGTCGAGGAAATATATGTTAGTAACCTTTTTCCTCTTTACAGCACGTTTAGTTTATGAAATATGTCCCGAAAATGTTTGTCAGTAACCTTTGTATGTCAGTAATCTTTCTCTCTTTACAGCATGTTTAGTTCATAGAATATGTAGGGAATAAAATAATGTTTTCGATGTTGAGTCAGATTTTACATGAACGACATGCCAATCTGATACTATCCGAGGAAAAGCGAAGCGACATATCCACAAAGGGCAATGTATGTGTATTGTGTACGGATTGATCTAGGATGCGTATTCGTGGGCGACGGAGAAAGGTAAGTACAAGGCCGATTATATAGATGAATCACATGTGCTTTAATTACTTGTACTGCATGAGTGATGAATTTGTGTAGCATCGAGACTTGGTCCTTGGTCATTGTTTTCCACCCTTGTTATATTTCACACCAAGTTTTGCCATTTTGCTTTAATAACATACTTGTTGTGCTTTCGTAGTGTTTTTTTGTTTCATCCAGGTCATGCTCCATGGCTTTGTTTTCAACCTTTGTTGGGAAGTACAAGGATTTCAAGGTTAGTGGTTGCGCTGCCAACGTTTCGTTGCGTGCCGACCGATCCCCAGCTTCCCGACAGGCTCAACCAGGCTGAGCAACCAGCAAATTGCGACCATGGCATGGGTGTAGAAGAACCATAAGGGGTACGATTATTGTCAGAACTCCAATAGAGACCGCACCCAAACACTCGAGTGTTAGAAGTTCTTGAGATGGGCTCCAGTTGCCATGAATAGGGTGGTGGTGGGGGTGGGGGTCCTATAACTTGTGAAATATATGTGTAGTTTGTGTATATAATGAGTAGAAAAAATGACGGTCAAATGATAAGATACCAAAGCGGATGATTGACTCATTCCATACTAGAACTAATAGCAGGAAATCCTTTGATAACAAAGATTCTTATTTCTCAATGATATTCTACGATCAAGACAATTGGCTGAATCCCGGGAAACCATTTCACAGAAGTTCATTGATATCCTCTTTTTATAAAGAAAATCGATTTCGATTCTTAAATAATCCGCATCACTTTTACTTCTATTGTAACAAAAGTTTCTCTTTTTCCGTGGAAAAGGCTCGTAATAATAATTCATATTTTCTATATGGGCAATTTCTCAATATCTTGTTCCTTCGCAAGAAAAGATTTTCTTTGTGCGTTGGTAAAAAAAAACATGTTTTGGGGGGGGGGGGGGGGGGGGGGGGGAGAACTACTATTTCACCAATCGAGTCACAAGTATCTAACATATTCATACCTAATAATTTTCCACAAAGTGGTGACGAAAGGTATAACTTGGATAAATCTTTTCATTTTCTAAGTCAACCCGATCCATTCGTTCGTAGAGCTATTTATTCGATCGTAGATACTTCTGGAAACCCTCTAACAGAGGGACAAATTGTCAATTTTGAAAGAACTTATTGTCAACCTCTTTCATATATGAATCTATCTGATTCAGAAGGAAAGAACCTTCATGAGTGTCCCAATTTCAATTCAAATATAGGTTTGATTCACATTTTATGTTCTGAGACAGATTTCTCATCTAAAAAAAAGGAAAAAACAGAGTCTTTGTCTAAAGAAATGCGTTGGGGTTCAGAAAGGGCGGATATATACAACCTTTCAACGAGATAGTGCTTTTTCAATTCTCTAAAAAAATAGAATCTATTCCAAACATATATGCCAAGCTTCTTTACTTCGATAGGGTACAAATATCTAAATTCGATATTTTTAGATACTTTTTCAGACCTATTGTGAATATTAAGTAGCAGTGTATCCATTTTTCATGATATTATGGGTATATCGTGGCGAATTCTTCAGACAAAATTGTGGAAGATGCAATTTTTTCTCAGAAGTGAGTTCTCGAGTAAATGGTTACATAATCTTATGTCCAAAGAAATGATTCATCGAAATAAAAAGAATAAGTCGTCGTTGATATCGACACATCTGAGATCACCAAATGTTTGGGAATTCCTCTATTCAATCCTTTTCCTTGTTCTTGTTGCTGGATATCTCGTTCTTATACATATTTTCTTTGTTTCCCAGACCTTTAGTGAGTTACAGAAAGAGTTCGAAAAAGTCAAATCTTTGATGATTCCCTCATCAATGATTGAGATTGAGTTGCGAAAACTTCTAGATAAGTATCCTACGTCTGAATCAGATTCTTTTTGGTTAAAGAATCTCTTTCTATTTCCCATCAATCGAATCGATTTTTCTATAAATACGAGACATCTAAGTCATACAAGTAAAGAGATATATTCATTGATAAGAAAAAGAAAAAACGTGAACGTGGATTGGATTGATGATAAAATAGAATCCTGGGTTGCGAACAGGCCCATAATGGGTAGAAAAAAATGACGGTTTCAAATTTTTTAATCAAACGAATGGCTCAGATTGATCAGATTTTAATTTTTCCTTAAGATTTCCTAATTTATGCTTAATGAGTATGATTATCCGTTAATTTTTCCGTTAATTTCTGTTAGTTCACCGTTACCTGATTCATTGATTTTAATAAGAAAGGTCTTAGGTTCGAACCCCATCTCAATCAAAGTTGGCATAATTAGTACTCTATTTTACTCTTATTAAATTAAATTAAATAATAACTTAGTAGCTACAACAAAAAATAATACATATGCATTTCTTTAATTTATAATTATATGTCTACGATGTCTTTATTCAAAAAAAATTATTCATTATCAATAAATTAAATAAGAGAAATAATTTCATTAGTTATATTGTCTTTATTTTTCTCCAATATAAAAATTCTTTACATTCAAATTCATCAATTGATTATATTCGCTACATTGTCCCTACAATGTCTTTATTAAAAAAAAATATTCATTATCAATAAATTAATTAAGAGAAATAATTTTATTAGTTATATTGTCTTTATATTTCTCCAATGACAAAATTCTTTACATTCAAATTCATCAATTGATTATATTCACTACATTGTCTATTATCTTTTTTGTACACAATTTTTTAATTAAATATCAAAGTTATAATACAAAATAATGCTATATATTTATTTACCAAGTATTTTATTAATACCATGAAAAAATTTAAAAATATATAATTAATAAAGCCAATCATATTAACTACTTGAGGGATTTGTTGACAAAGAGAGTATTCAAATCAAACAACAAATTGAAGTGAAAACTACCTCGCAATGTCATTGTTTGACAATCAACAGTTAGCGATTAGCATTAGCGGACTTGACCAGCGAATTATATCAACGGTTGGTAAAAAGATATTTGAAAAAATTAGATGTTTAGATTAACATGTAAAATGACCTAAAAGTATACATATATTTAATAATAATAATAATAATAATAATAATAATAATAATAATAATAATAATAATAATAATAATAATAATAATTGTTTTAAAAAAATAAAAAATATAAAAAATATAATTAAGCCAATCATATTAAATACTTGGGGGATTTATTGACAAAAAGAGTATTCAAATCACACAACAAATTGAAGTAGGAAACTACCTTGCAATGTCCTTGTTTGGCAATCAGCCGTTAGCATATTAACTACATGAGTGATTTATTGACAAAAAGAGTATTCAAATCACAAAACAAATTGAAGTGGGAAACTACCTCGCAATGTCTTTGTTTGGCAATTAGCAATTAGCTCTTCAATATTAGTATATATTTAATATTTTATGCCCTAAATTTTATTTGCTCTCCCTTATGTCTCATATTTGGTTTCAACCATACCTATACTTTTATTTTATTGACAATTATATTCAATCCTGACTATATTATCTTGCATTTGTAAACTTAGAATTACCTATTTAAATACGCAAATTCAACATTTAATTATCTATGCATGAACAATTCCAATATAATCTTGTCATATACTTTAAAGTACTTATTTAAAAAAAAAAACATTGGGCAATGCGCGTAAAAAAACTAGTGTGTATATATATATATATATATATATATATATATATATATATATATATATATATATATATATATATATATATGTATGTATGTATATGTATATGTATATGGAAAATGCTACACATACTCTAAGGAGTATAACTTTGGTTATGTGTACATATTTTATTAGATAAAAAATAAATCAATAGAAATAGTGGTCCTTTTTTATTTTTTATTTTTAAATTTAGGTGATCCAAACTTTATCGGACTAATTCTAAGTCCACAAGACCCCGCCCCTAGAGTCACCTTCTATCATCTTTGGACGCTTTTCTCATTCACATTTCTAGTGGGATTCAAAACCCACACTACCGCCTCCCATTATGACCCCAAAAAAAAGGATAAAAATGTAATCGCACAAAACAGAAGGGGAGAATGCGAAATTGAATCGATTTCGGTTCAAATTTTTTTATTATTATTATTTAATCAATTATTATATGATATTTCATTATGAAGTATAAAATGGGAGTATAGGTAATATTGCTTTATATATATATATATATATATATATATATATATATATATATATATATATACACACACTGTTGTGATTAAAATAAAATAATAATAAAAAAAAACAAGGAAAATGGGAGAAAATTTTCGATCATTATGCTGTGGAACCGTGTCCATAATTACAGAACTATATGTTCATAATTATGTTTACAACTCTATGTTCATAATTATAGAACTATATGTTCATAATTATAGAACTATATATTCATAATTATGAACAGTTTTAAAATCGTGTCCAACAGGACCGATTTTTTTATTTTGGTGGCCCTGTTCTTGTACATAAATGGGGCCCAACCAAAAGCATAAGTCAATCTTTAAAACCACCATAAATATATGATTCTTTTATTTATTGTAATTTACGTTTTTCACATTCAGATTCATATTTTCTAATGAAGGCCCTATGCTGTTGGGCTGCTTGCACAGTCCAAAATCCGACCTTGGTGTCCACCTTGCAAGGTGGACACGATTCCACAGCATAATTTGTTAACCAACAAATGGGCTCAGCCAGGAAACCTAATTGGGCCGAAACATTCCACTATTACGTGTAAAAGCCAAACCCAAACAACACAAGCAGGCAAATTATATCGTGGACCATGGCACATAATGGATTATGCACCGACTTTCTAAACGACATTGTTTTGTGTAATAAAAAGAAACGACACTCGTTTCGCGCCATTCCGTAAAAAGTAACTCTGTTATTTAGTTTCATTTTGTATACACTGCAGTTTCAGTTCAACACAGCTATAGTTTCATTTCGATATAACTACAGTTTCATTCGATATTTTGAGAACGAAGAATTAATTCATTAAATCAGACATTTCATTCGATATTTATACACTCAAATATGTGAAAATGTTATTTAATTTTATTTTATATACACAATAAACTATAGTTTCATTAAAACACAACTACATGATCATTTCGATATAACTACAGCTTCATTGCACAATATACACTCAAATATGTGAAATGTTATTTAATTTCATTTTATATACACTGCAGTTTCATTTCAACACAACTACAGTATCATTTTGATATAACTACAATTTCGCTGGGTAATATACACTC